TGCTCGTTTAGCCCCAAGACGAGGAGTCAGGATGAACAGCCGGAGCCGGAGCCCTCCGGCTCTCAGCACCCCAGCGTGCCAGCACACCGCCCTGGGCACGGTGCGGGGGCGGCTGCGAAGCCCACGCCAAGCTGAGGGGCTCAGGGACGGGTTTGCCTCGCTCCGAGCCCTCCGCCCTGCTCTCTTCTGGATGTCGGCCCTCGGCAGGCTGGATGTCACAAGCAGGGTCCAGGCACCAGGTCTGGTGATGGCTCCCTCTCTCCCTGGTCACACTGGCCTCGAGGGGCCAGCGGATGCTGGTCCTTTTCGCGTCGGGGCTGAGCTGGGGAAATCTAAGCTTGAAAGTGGTTTCATGTCAAAAATAAGCCAGAACTTGTTTACCAGGCTTTACATCAGTCCCGAGCAGCATGAGCATCCTGCTTTTTTGTGGGGGAAGGGAGAGCTGGATGAAACCCACAGCGAATCATGTCACCAGCGAGTGTAGCATAAATATAGCTCCATCGAAACATGCCTTGAGCTCCATCAACCTGTTCTCACAGTCCTTTCTCCTCCCTCCCGTGCAGAGCCAGTGCAGGCAAATCCCAGGAACCTCGGAGCAGAGCTGCGTGACCTTATCCAAATTCAGACCACGTGCCCCATATCTCCATCCTCTACTCAGCTCTAACAAGAAATGCCCATAAGTAAAGATTTGACAAGCAAATATCCCCTGGGATGGAGGGTTCTAGCAGATGAAAAGGGGAGGGAGATCAGGTAACTGCAAACAGGGAACATGTCTGCAGCCACATTTTTTTGGGGGTAGGATTCACTCAGGTCCCCTGGTTCTCCAGCTCTGCTGCCAAGTGCCACCAACCCCACGCAGGGCTGCAACCACATCAAACCCCGCTGGATTCCCAGGCCACGGGATGCAGCTCTCCTGCCTCTAGCCCTTAAATCAGACCTGACAGCGCTGATGGTTTCCTCCCCATTTCTCCCCACCCAGGTCCCTCCAGCATCAGCACCATGCGTTGGGCCACCATCCTGATCATCGCTGGGCTCTGCGGTGCCTCCCTGGGCCAGTACAATGAAGAAGAAGACATGGCTTGGTTACAGTACTACATGCGGCAATCCCGCATGTCCTCCTATAACTACATGCCCTACTACGAGGATGAGAACACCCCTTACGTGTACTCTTACCTCCCAGCTCCAGACACGGAGGCGGAGCCTGGCCCTGAACCTCAGCAAGCCCCTTCCTGGCAATGTCCCCAAGAGTGCGATTGCCCCCCTAACTTCTCGTCAGCCATGTACTGTGACACCCGCAACCTGAGGTACCTGCCCTTCGTGCCTTCCCGCATGAAATATGTCTACTTCCAGAACAACCAGATCACTGCCATCCAAGAAGGTGCTTTTGACAACGCAACGGACCTGGAATGGCTCGCGCTGCACAATAACCAGATCACCAGTGAGAAGATGGGCAAGAGGGTCTTTGCCAAGCTCAAAAGCCTGGAGAGGTTGTACATGAACAACAACAACCTAACCAAGATGCCCAGCCCCTTGCCCCGCTCCCTGAGAGAGCTCCACTTGTCTTACAATCAGATCTCCAAGGTCCCCTCCAACGCTCTGGAGGGTCTGGAGAACCTCACAGCCCTGTACCTCAGCCACAACTACATTTTTGAGATGGGAGCATCCCTCAAAGGGCTCAAGTCCTTGATCCTTGCTGATCTCAGTTACAACCACCTCAGGAAAGTCCCTGATGGGCTCCCAATGGCTTTGGAACAGCTCTACCTAGAGTACAACTACATCAACACCATCCCTGATGACTATTTCAAGGTCTCTCCCAAGCTGCTCTATGTACGAATGTCCCACAACAGCCTGACAAATCAAGGTCTCTCTACCAACACTTTTAATAGCAGCAGCATCCTCGAGCTGGACCTCTCTTACAACAGGCTCCAGAAGATCCCCCGGGTCAGCACCAACCTCGAGAACCTCTACCTTCAAGGGAACCAAATCAACGGTGAGCAGAAATGCGTCAACCAAAGCGTGGTGGTGCAGTAGAGGGATGGGGAGATGGGGATGCAGAACCTGTGCCTCCCTGTGGGAGACTACCAGGGGTAATGGTTTGAGCAGGAAGCTGGAATCTGGGAGACTTCTAGGTGGCTCTCAGCAAGGCAGGAATGGGGCCTGTTGTGTCCCAACATACCCGGAGCCGAGAAGCTCCCAGCTCTGAAGGCTGCCGTGTGATCCACAGAGCCATGGAGCCGGTTTTACTGAGCATTTATCTGCCAGAAGCCTGAGCATCTTCTGGCTAGAGATGCCAGAAACCAGCCGTGGGTTGAAGCTGATGCAGGGCACAGGGACGTACCCTGCGGTGCTCGGCGGTCTGCAGCACCCGGGGCCAGCACAGCCCCTTTCTCCAGCCCCTTCTGCCCACCTCCCTCCCTGCCTCGTAGGGCCCCGGCACGGCCCGGGGAACGGCCCCAAAGCCCCCCGAGGGTCGTGGTCTGCAGCCGAGGGGCACATCCTTGCTGGGGCTGGGACAGGTGGGAGCTCTTAGTTATTAGAGCCATCAACGCAGCATCTTCTGCCAGGACTAAAATTCGCTCCACTTAATACACAAATAAATAAAAGGAACAGATTGTTCTGGGGCTGCTATTTATAAAAATAAGCTAGAAAAAAAAAGCCACCAAGCAGTCTCCTGGAAAAATCCAGGCTTGCTCCTCTCACCTGCCAGGCCCAGAGGGCAGGACCCCCCTGGAGCGGTGCTGGAGCCCCTGAGCAAGCCTGG